ATCGACCGACGACGACGCGGTTTGGAAAATATGACTAACGAAAGACACCTACTCAGGAGCAGGTACCTTTTGAAACGTACTCAGTACAAAACGAAACGTCAATATGTTGTCACGGTAGCCGACTCCGCCCCCATTTTTCTAGGGAAATTGTGTCACTCTTGCTTCCAACCAATCAGACGTGAAGACATCACTTCCGTGTACTTTTAAAAGGAACGTGTACAGTGTCGAACCTAGCTATCCTGGTACGCACTGCGCCAGCTGTTTTGCTCGTTTTTTTCTGCTTTTAGGCCTAGCTCCGCGAGGGCTTTACGATTCCTGTTGCGGTAGCTGTCAAGCCATCCCGCTTCTTTAGTTACCTATTTTGGTGTAATATATGTGTCCTCTACTTCAACTACTTTCATGCCCTGAAAGGAGCTTACCCGGTGCATCGGTGGGGTGGTTGACCCGCCCTGGGTGCTGCCTTGTGGGTCCTCGGTGACCGGCATCAGGCAGCTGCGGCGCGTCGTTGCGATGGCGCCGCGGAGTCTTGGTTGTTCACAAATCCCATGCGGGGCACGTCCGCTCCGGCATCGTCATCAGTGCCGTCGGTGCGATCACGCCAGAGTTTTTGATCTAAAAAGCAGGGTGTCGAACCGGTAATTATTTCGGTTCGGTTCGGGTTCGGGTTCTGTAGCATTGTATTTTGTTCCGGTTCGGTTCCGGTTTGGAGTAGCGCACAGAATATCACTCCGGTAACCAGTTTTAGTAGCGCGAACCGGTTCCAACCGGTTCCTAACTCTGACTTTGGTTCTTGACCGGGCAGTTCCTGCAGCCTTTTCCGAGCACGAGATACTTGCAATAGACCCGTCTAGAGTGCCTTTACAATGCAGTGCCTGCATGCACACACACTCACGTGCGTTGTTAGAGTGATGACATCTCGGCCATTTCGGTCCCCATAATTTTTTTTTAAGTTTTCGTAGAATGCACGCGCTGGCACGCGCAGTTGCATTCCTCGACGTGAGCACCTAGCTTTTAATAGTGCTTTGGCGCCACTTTGGTTTGCACCGTTCACTTATATGTTAGAATTAGCACGCGCCGTCGGCACAGCTACTACAAAGGATGTCTTCAGCTTGAAACAAGCGCACATCGAGGCACCCTAAACCCTGCACAGTGAAAACACAAAATACACCAATAATGTGGCAAGACTATTACTCGTATAGAACTGTTCTTAAGTGAGCTATATATAAGCGATCGGCTTTCCATTTTTATTGTATCTTTCGCACACGCAGTTGTGCAGTATTTCAAACTCTGCCAGAAGGCGGCGTAATTTCGGGATGAATCTGTAGACCTTTCGAAAAAAAAAAAAAAAGCTTGTGGCCGGTTCCATCTTAATTTTTAGTGTTCGTGCGTATAGCGCGTGCTTTGCTTGCTTTCCAAAGCGACGAACACGCACGTGCTGGGCTGTGAAAATCGCACGCTGGTCGAGCGGCTCACCGGCCATCTCGGCCACTCTCAACTCGCGCCCCAAAACGTTCGCTTAGGTTAGCCAGAGGCTCACATACTGACAAACGTGGTTTCGACCTTGCCTTACGGGGAAGCCACCAACCGTGTCCTACAAAAATTGTTCTACTCACTAACTTCCCAACGAAAAAAAAAAAAAAAGCACGTGCGGAAGCTGTTAGTCTCTAAAAATAGCGACACATTAAAAGGCACCAAAAATTGCAATGACCCTGAGGTGCCCGGTCTCAAATGGGCATTCCTCCCCAAATCCTCTCCAGAGGGTGTCGGTGGCTTCTTCGCACGCGAAACAGACATCTCTCAATAGCCAAGAGGTTGGCTCGCGAAAATGGAAAATAAAGCCATAGAAAATCGTTCAAACTCGTGACACCCGTCCGCGAGGTGCTTGTCACAAAACGGTTTGAAAGACGCAGCAAGTTGGGCAGAAATCGCCGGGAGTCTGCTGCTTGCGAATGGCCGAAGTTTACGAGGCCGCCCGTGCGGAGACGACATAAACCATGTTAAAAAAAAAAAAAAAAAAAAACATTTGCGTCTTATTTAAACGAATTTTAAATTATTTAGACCAAGCACCTTTGTTTTGGCACGGGTAAAATATTTCGCTCGTGTAATGAAATGTGACTAGATATTGATAGCCCTTCGAGTTCCGGCGGAAAAACGCAGTTCTAAAGACCTCGTGGCGATACTTTGTCTAGTCTCTTTGACATTTTATCGCAAACAACGCTCTATGCAAATGAGCCGGTCTGGGGGACTCAGAACCAGTTACGTAGAATGTATTGTTAACGTTAACTCCGTGATAATATTATATAACAGTACTCACATTTGAAACTGTCAGCCACCGAACAAAGTTCCGGTAATGCCACCGCAGCAAATGAAGTTCTCGAATGCTCAGTTGATGACGATGAAAGGGGGCTTCGCACAAAATTGAGAAAAAGGTTGAACTAAGGCTTTGGGTTGAACGGACGGTATGCTGGTCTTGATAGTCTGACAAACCTACAATATAAAATGTACAAAGGAATATTTTCTCCTCACCCTTGCCTCCCCCCGGCCACCTACCAAGGCGCGTCGCGTCGGAGAATCATCGCCGAGTAACGTTGCCTCCAACGACCCTTGGTTTTCTTTTTTTTTTTTGCAAGGTTAAATTTTGAACACGTTGAAAAGATTGTTTTTCATTGAAATGGACCACAAGCGACTCTATAAACTATACTGCCGATGCCAGCGCGGTACTTGTCCCAGCTTCCTTCAGCGTGTCGCTGCACTCAAGGGGAAGGTCACCTGGTGCGCTCTCGGTGCTCGATTGGTTAAATGGCTCATCGACTGCAACTACGGTCTATTTTGAGGTCAAACATTCGCGGACGCGTAGGCCTCCGTGCCTAGAGTGGTGGAATCCGCTCCGACACTTGGACATTTCGTAGCCAAGCGGCCAAGCGGTGCTTTGAAATCGCCGCTGCCGCTGCCGCGCCGCCAGGGTCAATCCAAGAAACAAAGTGAAGTTGAAGCTCTTCAGATGCCTAAGTAGAGGAGGGAATTGAACGAGCTCGCTGACCACGCTGTCTCTTTGTGTCTCTGCTTTTGATGGTGATGTATTTTTTATTACGTATGCAATAAAAAAGAAATGTAAAAATATCTGACAGTATGTAGGATCTTAGCAATATAAGAAAGAAATGCTCCCTAACTTTTCTCATTAGCCAAATATTGACACAATTGGCCCTGAACCACTTTCTTTGAACCGGTAACCGCCACATCAGATAAGGGTTTCGTTCCGGTTCGGGTTCCATATGAAGCGTTCGATTTCGGTTTCAGTTTTGTACCGGTTGAGTCAAAAATAAAGGTTGTGATCCGGTTTTCGGTTCGACACCCTGCTAAAAAGATGGAGCTCGCCTCAGACGTGGCATCCCTAGCTCGCCTTCTTCTTCCTTTCCTTGTGAAATGTATTAAAAAAGTTTTGCGGACGTGAAAGCTTGGATGAGAAAATGACGACTGTGCAAAGTAGCATCGTGAAATCTTCTCAAATTCCACGCCTCGAGATTCTCTATTTTATATCTCAGCGAAAAAAATTGTTACGGCGCTCGTATATAGCTGAATGTTCCTAGCAAGAATATGGCTTTCATATACACTTTTAACAAAAATATCAAAATCATAGCCCGGACCATCATTGAATGAACTGACGCAGGAATCATCCTACACTACCTTCGACTATCGCCGAGCAGTCCAATAAGTTCCCGCATCGTCTGCTGTTTTCTACGCATTTTGACCGAGTTCTAAATCAGATATAAAAAATAAAAGGTTGATTGCGATGTTCCTTCTCATAACTGCCCTGATCCTTGAAAACCAAACCATAAAAATTAATAAGCCTAAAGGGCCCCTGAAAAGAAAAAAACCAAATGTTTTTTTTTTTTTAACAGTCTAATAGGGCACGCGCGGCGAAAAAGTAATTTTACCCGAAAAAAAAATTGGCGCGGGACGTGATTTAGTTTGCAGTCACCTCCTTTCCACTTGTTTTCTCTCTACGGCGCGTGGAAGAGAGGTGGAGCGGCTTCGCCTTCTCGACCGAGATGGTCGTTCCGGAATGACCCGTGACATCATAGACTTCGCGCACAGAAGTTCAAATAAATCTCTCACCGTCAATATTGCATTAAAACTCTTTTCGCGCAAAATGTATTTTTTGGCACGCGTGTCACAACCAGACTGTTAAAATACTTTTTTTTTTTTCAGGGGCCCTTTAAACTTAAAACGAAATTTTACAAAAGCTATTTAATTCGAAAGTTAACAACCTTTACAAAGACTTTTATGTGCCCAATTTTAATCCTGCCAGTAAACAAAAAAAGTTATTCTCATCGAAAACAGTTTTTGTGTGCAGAAGTGCACATATTTCGAGCTGTACTTGTTGTTCCCATTTAATACCTCACAACTTGCCATGCTCCTTCAAGAATATTCATTTTGTTTGTTCTTCCCTTTACTAAGCTGAACCACACGTGAAATGTTCTTCACACTGCACATTTTCTTGCGTTATCCTCTTCCCTTTTTACTCTCTACAGAGTTTGCCAATTATTGTGTCTTTTGCAAAGCTTGAGAGGCATTTCAAGCAGTAACAATTTTTTTAAGATGCACTCATTAAAATATAAGTCCTTTTACGTATAGAAATATTAGAAGCATTAGTAATTGTATCTGTTACAGTATTGTTTGTAATATATTGTATAAAAAACTACTGCAATATTTATATAATGTTTTAGAGTATAAGAAGTATTCGTTGGTGAAGGTTGAAAGTGAAGACATCATCCCCTGAAGTTTCTACGTGAACAAGGAACCGATATATTTCTAGGTTGCAGAAAAAACATAATAAAATTACCTTTCTTGCGGGAGCTATTATCATGCAAGTTTTCATACTAAAATTTACACTTTTATTACAATTACAGCAGATGTTCACAAAATGTATACAGCTACTACATTGCGTTTGGCCTTAGCAGTATTAAGCAACCGCGTCGTGAATTCCTTCTTTTGCATAGGAATGCACGGATGAGGTGAAAACAATACTCATTGAATGGAAAGCGAAATTGAAGGTACGACTACTAAACACTAAGGAAGTTAAGTGTCCACCTCGAAGTGAGAGCAGGAGCTTCCAAGATTGATTGACGGACTGTATGACAAAATAAAAATAATAATGAATATATTCTCTGTCTTTGAGTCTTCAGTCTAAAGGGGCACTGACACCCCAAAGGTCGTATTATTTTTTATTGTCTAAAACGATGCAAGTTGTAGTCATATACACGCAAAAAAACCGCATCGCGAAAAAAAATTTACCCGAGCGCGCGCGCGCCTTTTTATTTTTGGCGTTTAAATTTCCCGCGCTAACCTCCTTGCTTCTTTCGATTGGTGACGTCAAAAATCAGGAAATTTAGAAGCTTTGTAGGCGACATTTCTATAACATTTAATAACAGCAATCGTAAAACATGTTTTTTAACGCAATTGCGAGCGCACTACGGCCCCTCTTTTTGAAATACCAAAAATCGGATTTCGGTGTGATGTCGCTTCCTGGATTTGTATCCCGCCTCGGAAAACTTGGCGGCGCTAACGGCGAGACGGGGACAGTACGGCTCTGGACGGGGAAGAAACCGGATTTTTTCCCGCGCCGGCTTCTATCCCGCCTGCTCACCTCCTCCTCGCCTCGGGTTGCTGTGGCAACGACGGAGGTCCCAAAGAAAGTCGAGTCGCAGGAGACCGCAAAATTTGACTCACTGCACTGGCGCAGATCACGCGGGAACTTCAAATTCGGCATTTGGAAATTATTTTTTTAATTCACAAATACTGAATTCCCAAGTTTCGAAACTTGAGGGCAATGTCCCGGCATCATTTTCAATCGTTTCGGATAATAAAAAAAAGTATGATTTTGATGTGTCAGTGCCCCTTTAAGCTCTACTTCCGCCATAATCAGAAACCTTAAAAAAAAACATTCGACCGTGTACCGCATGACGTTCTTTTATCTGTTTCAGACGATGTAAATTCGATTCGCGGAGGTGTGCGGATATCGTACAGTGGTTGTACGACCAGTCTTATAGTGAATAATTCGGTTGGAAAGCGTATCAAAGTAGAGCGTTTCGTACGCCAAGGGTGTTCTCTTTCACCCCTTCTTTTTTTCATTTATATAGAATCACTTTATCTGAGCGTAATTAGAAAAAATAGTATCAGGGGGTTTAATCTTTTTGCATCGGAAGTACGTATTTTAGCTTACGCGGATGATATCGCCGCGTTTTGCACAAATCAAGAAAGCATAGTTGAAGTTGTGGACATAGTAAAACGTTTTTGCGCAGTTAGTGGAAGCGCGGTGAATTTGGAGAAATGTCTGGATTTTTGGCATGGTTGCTGGTGCTTCACTCCCGGTGTGTTTCAAAATAAAAGGCGGTTAACCACTCCCGTAAAATATTTGGGCGTGCCTCTCGAGATCTACCATGACAGTGAGCCCTATTGGCGCTGGCAGGCACTAGAACGTCGCGAGAAAGCGTAAAAGTGGAGAGGCTGGGAATTATCTATCTTTGCCGGTGCCGCAGTTTGCAATTTGTTTCTTGTTAGCAAACTGTGATACGTGCTACAAGTGTTGCATCGCTCGCGAGTTAATGTTCGAAAATTGCACCGCGTTTTTGCTGTCTTTATTTGGGGCTCGTCATGGGAACGGACGAGTCGAATAAACCTTTTCCGGCGCGTCCGCAATGGCGGGCAGGATTGTCACATTTATTTTTGCACCAAGTTGTGAATCGTTTTATTTATCTTCGGGATGTCAGTGACCCGTTTCTATGAACTGTCTGCCAGGTTAGACTGTGTAGACCTCTGCCTTAGTTCACTGTTTCTTCGGAATCTGTGCCAGGCGGCATCCACAGATACCTCAAGGAAGTGGTCGCGTCATGTAAATGTTTGGCAGCCAGGTCTTCTTTTGAATATTTGAGCATAGTGTCCAGCAAAATGTTGCATAGGGATCTTTGTGACGATGCTTTTCCCATACCTTTGTACAGACCTTTGTATTGTGCAGGACCAGGACAGGACATATTAAAGTGTGTTAAGAAAATGCTCGTTCCGCAGGTGTTAACTCCTTCTTTTTCAAATTACACACCGGCACCTTAACTATAAAAACATGAATGAAGGAAACGGGACTGTTCGCCCCCTGGGGCGACCACTGCTTTTCGTGTCAAAAATCCGAGACAATTGTGCTGGTATTCCTGGAGTGCTGGGATATGGCCTGTTTTTCTGGGACGTCCTCCACCGCACATTGAAAAAAGATTTTCCGCTAGACGTGCATGGAATTAGATACCTTCCCGTTGAAAATAAGGGCGGCGTGCCCTTTGATATGATTATGTTACTTGGCCGGCATAGTATTTGGAGGTCTCGGATGGCTACGCGCCATGCAGATATTGACGCGCGCGAGGCTCGGGAATATTTCAGCGAGAGTATTGCCTCAATTGTTGAAGTGTACAAGGCTCAGAGCTGTTGCCAGAGTGGATTCAACGTGTGGAAGCTGTTATGAATTTGAAACGATTTTAACTTATACTACTAGCCCCAAAACCGACTGGTAGCTTTTAACGCTGTCATTTCTGCTGTTGTTTGACCTCAGACTTGTATATATTTCTCTGTAAAATAAACGACAAAAAGAAAAGAAAACAAAAGCGTGCGTGGCCGAATGGTTACTAATTGGCTTTTGCGCGGGGGCCCCAGGTTCGATTCCTGGGCCGGTTTGCTCGAAGCCGGTCAACTTTAACCGCGGTTAAAAGTTAACCGCCCTTCCCTACTAGGTACCTTCAAGTACCTAGCCAAGTTTGACGAGGGCTGGATGAGCGATAGCTCCGTGTTTTATTATAGGGTGGTAGCTGGTGTCCCCTACTGGTTCCCGAAATGAGGGGACCCAAAAAATGCGCGCTGCCTGGTTTTCGCGACGCAGCGCGGCATACTTTTGAGCTTGAGAAACAATTTTTATTGCTCGTGGTGCAAATAATCGGCCAGGTAAAACTAAATTAACCCTTGTTTGGAAATTTTCTAAATATTTGGCTGTCTAAAGTGAAGAAAAGCCTCGTTGAAATTTCCTTCCGAGTTCAAAAGAGGACGACGAAGTTGAGTCCTAGAATGAGAAAGAAGTGAGCAGTGAAAGGCGGGCGGTACACCGGCAGCATGGTTGGCCAGCATGTAAGAACTGTATATAATACCGTCATAAATTGAAAAAACCTGTAACTCGGCTCCACTGAAAATTGACCTATTAGTAAATTACCCGAACATCGAGAAGAACGCTGCAAGTGTAATTCTACGGTCCGCGCGCGCTGGCCTTCCACTTATAAAAGATTTGGAATAAATAATCATAATAAATCTTTGACGAACGCGCGTGCACGGCAAAATTTGTTTTAGGCTTTTTGCTTCAGAACAGTTATTACTGCAGACGCCAGCAGGTGCAGCGCGTGTAACTACACTCGTGGCATGCACCTCGGTGTTTTTTAAATTTAGCTAAAGGTCTATGTGAACGCTCTCTGCTTTTGTGTGCTAGCAAAAGACGCTTTGCAGCAGCTGTGCATGGACGCCGCCATAACTGACGTTCAGTTTTTGTTCCCTCTTATTTCGTTCGCTTCACTTCATCATTACCACAGCAGGACAGGTTATTGCCATTTTAGATGCCACTGTCTTCTTGTGCCCAGCATAGGCCCTTGTGAAGACCCGTCAACGCCCGCTTCAGTGGCTCGGCATCTCGGTAAGACAAGAGAAGGGCGGCTATGGCGGCTCAATCTGGCGCGTGTGTAAAGCGTCTATACCCGGCCGATTGAGTCAAGGCAATCCACATTCCAAAGACGTTGCCATGCCGACAACTATCGCGTTCATTTAGGCTTAGGAAAGGTCAGAGTCGAAAGTCTATCTAAAAAATGCGGCGAGGTCATTGCTCATGTTTTGCGTTTTAAATGAGGTAAAGCAACGCGAAAACCTCCTGCACCATTCGTTGCTGACTAAAGCGCGATCCAAACCAACGCTTCTTTTTGCGCCTGTAGGTCGTGCGGCTGCGGATGTGACGTATTTTCGTGACGTCGCGCCGCTCCTTCGCTCCTTCCGGGCGCGCATAAAAAAGTTGGTTGATTTCAACTTCTTTCTCAACGCGCACAAAAACGCGCGGTGACGTAGTAGGGCGCTCCTGTGTCCCGGCCAATCGGTGGAGGGCAAGCTAGTTCCGGCTCCGCGTTTCTCGCCGTCTGACTGCCCTCTCCTCTCCCCCTTTTATTCTCTTCCAACATGACAACGCGATCTCTCTCTCTCTCTCTTTCTCTCGCCGTCTGGCCGGCCAGTCTCTACTCTACGCTTGGAGGGTTATGCCTTACGGGTCGAGGAATTCCGGGGCCACCTTTCAGCGGCTGATGAACGAGGTGTTGAGAGAACACCGCGGATACGCGTGCGCGTATATCGACGATGTAGCGGTTTTCTCGGAGTCGTGGGAGGAACACGTCGAACACTTGAGCTCCGTGTTGGAGACGATCGCTGGTGTGGGACTGACGGTGAATCCCACGAAGTGTAAATTCGCGCAGTCCAAGGTTAAGTACCTCGGCCACGTCGTGGGATCAGGAACTCATTCACCGGACCCAGAAAGAATCAGTGCTATATCTGAACTGAAGGCACCCAGGACCAAACGCGATGTGCGCAGTGTGCTGGGTCTCTTCAATTACTACAGAGACTACGTCCCCGGGTATTCCGAGATTGTCCGCCCATTGACTGACTTGACGCATAAGAGGGTGCCAAACCTGGTACCACGGACCAAGGCGGCGAACGATGCCTTTGAGAGAGTCAAAGAGGCTCTGGTGGCGCTGCCGGAGCTCACCGCACCCGATCCTGCTCGGGAGTACACGGTGACCACGGACGCCTCTGAGTTCGCTGTCGGCGCGTGTCTGTCGCAAATTGTGGAAGGCTTATCTAGACCGATTGCGTTCCTCAGCAAAAAGCTGACGGAAAGCCAGGCAAAATGGTCCGCCATTGAAAGAGAAGCGTACGCCATTGTGTGGGCACTGGGGAAACTCGATACCTGGCTGTTTGGGGCGAAGATAAAAGTCGCCACGGATCATAACCCGCTGACGTATCTTACGCACGCCGCTTCCTCCAGTGCCCGACTGACGCGGTGGTC